CAGGCCACCCTGCTGGACACGTCACTGCTTCTTAGATGGGATGGCTCATGCTACCTGGTTACAAACAAAGAGTAAAATCGATAAATGGGTAAAGAATATCTTTTTCTTTTTTAAATTAATCGCATTTCATGAAATTCTTTTAGCTGACAGAAATAATACAACGCATCAGATTTCTGGTAAGATGCTTCAGTCAGATTCACTGACTGTGCTCAGCACTGATGATGTGTTGTTGTTGTTATAATACACCAGCGGTTGATGGCAAAAGTCAACAACACACCTGTAAAACCAACACAACAACGTGCTGCTTCAGCGACACCAACCCATGTTTTGTTTTGGAGTGGTATACTGAAGCAGAGGTAATCAGTGACACTGAGCGAGCTCAGGCCCACTGCTTCATCATAAATAAGTATGGAGTTCAAAGCGTCAGTGTGGGAGGTGATCTGAGGTTTGATTCCATCCATCGTGTCCATCATCAGTGTTTGCTGCTTTTCATGTTGTTTTCTTGTGCTCGGGTTTCTGGGAAAGGTGTCAGTGGGACTTGCTGTAAAATAAGCAAGGGTTCAAGACTTTGCTGTGACCTCCCCTTCTCTGGGAGCTCTGGGCTCTCTTACTGCTGCGTTACAGCTACCGCCCTCTCTGACAGGTGGAGGCACATCCGGTCGTTGATGGCGGAGTCTCGGGTCATTGTGGAGGAGCTGCTGGCTCTGTGTCTCCAGAGGATCACTATGGAGGAAAACAGCATGCAGACTGAGCAGGGTGAGAACAACACTCGACACCAATCAGCTGTCAGTAGATCACATGACATAACCCCTAAACTCACCTCATTCGTGGATAAATCTGCATGTGGGCGCTCTCTGCTGACCTCTGACCTGTTTTTATATAAAATGCCAAACTAAAATTCGACAGGTAAGACGGGTTTGGTGGTTACACACTTTTAATCGGTCTGCTCTCTCAGAGACAATCGAGCTGGTGAAAAACTTCGAGGAGGTCAGAAAGAAGTGGCTGCACGCCGAGCTGGAGCTGAAGAAGTACAAAGAGCTGCTGGTGAAGTCGGACGTGGCCAAAGCCGCTCTGGAAGTGAAGCTGAAACACGCCCGCAATCAGCTGGACGTTGAGATGAAGAAACGCTACAAGGTGGAGGCCGACTACCAATACCTGGTGAGGCAAGACCTCAAGGTTAGAGGTGGAAATCACAGCTGGCAGGTTTACATGTTTCTGATTCGTGTTTCATGTAACACGGGGACGTTTCTGCAGCTGTTGGATCAGTTGTTGTTGTTTTGGAGCTAGTTCACTGTCTGAGAAACACTGACAGAAAAACACACAGCGCAGTCAGCCGACACACAATCTTGTCTTCTGCCGCATAATGCTGCATTTTACTGAAACTCAGAGCAGCAATGACTTTAACCCCGGTTGCTTTTTCTCAGTAGTTTACACACAGAGCCACTTCTCTCTGCTAAATCCAGAAGATACAAGTGAAATGCCATGAAAGTTTGAATCCCGTGTAAGTGCATTAGATTATGCCTGAATCTTAATTAAATGGGGATATTAAAAATAAAAAGCCCATGTGTCACAGTAACCTGAGTTTGAATCCTCACAGCTCTTTGCAGTGATTTCTTTCAGCAGAGGTGTTTCTTGAATCAGAGCAGGGTGATTCTAGGATCAGAGCTTTGGGGGTGCTGAGCATCAGGAGAGCTGCCCACCCAGGCAAGATAAACTTTACTCGTCACGATGAGACGTCTTCCCCGTCTCTGTCAGTCCCTGCATCCCTAAATGCCTCCAGTTGTCCCAAATTCCCTCTGACTGTCTCCTTGGTGCATTTAAACCCCTGTTCCTCCCTGTCCTCGTCGTCTGCTTCTTCGTCTCTGTTATCAGTCATCATAATGTTACCATCTCTGTGCAAGTCTGCAAATTTCTTTATTCTTAAATCCATCAGGTCTCTCTGAGCCTGGGTCCTCGTCACAAAACATGACATCACTGTCTTGTACATTTAAACACAATTTAATCCCACATTTGTGAAAGAAAAGAGAACTTTTTCTGAAAAGTCTGTAACAAAACCATAGAATCTGATCAAGCTTATTGGAATAAAAAAAAAAAACATATCCTAACCTTAATTACTGGGGAGAATAATGAATGATGCTCACAGTGAGTAAGAAGTAAACTGAGTGCATTTTTTTTGGACAGAGATTCACTTTTAATGTGTGTTTAATATAAAACAGATGGGAAAAACTCCCAAAACAGAATAAATTATTACAAAATATTATATAGAGATATAGATATCTGTATCATCTAATAAAAGATATAAATACTAAAACACTGATCCAACATTATCCTTTATTGATGGATCATTTGATTTTACACTTTTACCTGAATGTGGCTCCTTTTTTTGAAAAAACTTCCTCATATCCATTATGAACCTGGCTGTCTCTCTGTATACACACACACACACACACACACACACACACACACACACACACCAGGAGTGATAAGGTTAATGGGCATCCAGTCAGTTAGCATCCATTTCAAACAGGACAGTGGTAACAACAGCAGCTACGGACAATTTTATGTTTTAGATTTTAAACAGGCTGTATACATTTCAATGTTAGCAACAGGACGGGGAAATGTCGCTGATTTTACTACAGAGCAGGACGGCTTGTAGGGCAGCAAACATCGTCGGAAAACACGTTTCAGCACTGCAGGTTACCTGGTGTAATGTTTTTCAGCTAAAAAGAAACATGGCTCTGATTCAGCACCCCCAAAAATGGGCTAAAATGGCCCCTGAATCAAAGCATATTTATCCTCCGTCAGCCTCTCGTTGATCTACACTGCCTCGCTGTTTTCAGACTGAAACACAGTAAAATGAGTGCACCATGGTTTATTTCGTTTGTAGGCCTTCATCACTCTCTCCCTCATCAGGTCTGTTTATAATGAGCTGTTCAGCCTGTGGGGGGAGCTCACAGACCTCTGTCCTGTGCTTCCAGCAGAGGCAGATGCAGCTAATGTGCGACATCCTCGTCCACGACACGAAATCCAGCGCCTGTCTGAACGATGAGCAGAAGTCTCTCTTGGCCACGTTTGAGCACAAAGGGGGGAACATGACACTGCAGAGGAGCACCAGACGGTGAGGTGGCGGCCAATCACGGTCCTTGCTGACGAGTCCGACACTGGTGAAAGTTTCCAGCTTTACAAGTTAAATCGTTGTTGAAATGAATCTAATGATAAAACATCAAGACTGTATAAAGAAGATGGAAGCAGCTACTGTGACATCACCCCCGATTCATGAAGCCCACTTAAAACAAAAAACATAAACAACAAACAACAAAACCCCTTTTTGAAACTAGATTAAACATGCTGTGGGTACACCTGAGGGCACCTGTACGCTCACACGGCAATCACAGGTAGCCCCGCCCATAATCTGCCTCCTGCTCCTCTCTGACTTTAACAGGACCATGATATCTCTCTCTCTCTCTCTCTCTCTCT